CAAAAACATCCTCTAAATAGAGGGTCCAGATTTATCCATAGTTTTTATGTGAGAGGGTATTAATGCAATTTGCAATACAAGTGCAATAGTATTTGCAATTGTTTCAAACAGTCAAGTGGAGATAGTTGTCCCCCACTTCAAAGTGCAAATATATACATACATACATACATATATATATATATATATATATATATATATATATATATATATATATATATATGAGTAAATACCCAAAATGGTCCCTTGACTATAGCTAAATTCACAAATTGGTCCTCGACTTTCAATTTCAACCAATTAAGTCTTTAATTTTACAATTTCGACACGATTTGGTCCTCCATCTATTTGACCATTTGTTGACCGTGATCTTTGAGGATATATATGTAGTTTCACATGCAAAACTCAAGAGAACGCTCTTGGAGGTGACATCGTTGTTTCGGAGGGGGAAGTGCTTCTCCGCTTGCTGCTTGGGGATCACAAGCCGGTTTAGCTTAGAGAACGATCTTGGAGGTGACAGCGCCGTTTCGGAGGGGGGAAGTGCTTCTCCGCTTGCTGCTTGGGGATCCCGAGCCGGTTCAGCTTGCCTACATCGCTTGGAGTCACGGTTTTCTCGAAGAGCCACTCCAGGAACTTCGGCGATCTATCTATAAAAAGCTATCATCTCTCCGGCATGGGGTGCAGCGCCGGCAGTGGATTCAAATGTAAAAGTGCGGTCTAGAAATGCAACAGGAACCTTAAAAAATCGACGATGGACCATGAAATTACATATATATCCTAAAAAAACGTAGTCAACAAACGGTCAAATAGACAAAGGACCAAATTCTGTTAAAATTGCAAAGTTAAGGACTTAATTGGTTGAAATTAAAAGTCGAGGACCAATTTGTGAATTTAGCTATAGTCGAGGGACCATTTTGGGATTTACTCTCTCTCTCTCTCTCTCTCTCTCTCTCTCTATATATATATATATATATATATATATATATATATATATATATATATATATATACATATATATATATATATATATATATATAGGGTCCGGATCAGGTGAGGACCTAATCTTAGGTGAGGACGTGAGGACTAAGCTAGAGCATTAAATCAGAATGATGTATGATTGAGATTAAAAGAAACAAATCACACGGATTAAGAAAACAAGTCCCTTTAAAATATTAAAATATATAAATTTAGGGTAAATCAGTCTTATTAAAAGATGTGCATTCCTATACAAAATGTTGTGCATTCCTATACTGAGTGTTGTGCATCAGTAACTTCGTTGTTGTGCATTCAAACCTCGCCAAAAAATCATACAGTGAACATCCAATGTTTTACCATGCATTGAACTATGTGCTATAATGCACAACTCCCTAGCCTATAGTGCACAATTTACAACACTAGGTTGCACAATCAGCACACACGAATGCACAATCGTACTACCCAGACATTTATACATATACACGACAATCCAAATATAGACAATATTATACTCAAAAGAACAAGTGAAAAAAAATAAAAAATACTGATTAGTTTGCATGGGCAAACACTCAATCAATGATGAAGAAATCGTGGCTCCAAATTGCAACGGTGATGATCCAAGAAAATAGGAAACCAATTTGGCCAAGGATTATACATGCGTTCACACTTAAAAAAAATAGAAAAAGACACTATTATCCCACTTTAACAAAAAAGATCAATCCATGTCATCTCAAGAACTCAAATCTGGACCATCCAAATAAAAACACAAACGCACAAGATTAGTCCTCACGTCCTCACCTAAGATTAGGTCCTCACCTGATCCGGATTCTATATATATATATATATATATATATATATATATATATATATATATATATATATATATATATATATATATATATATATATATATATATATATATATATATATATATATATATATATCAAATGAGGACTAGGTGAGGACGTGAGAACTAATCTTGTGCGTTTTATTTTTTTATTTTATTTGGATGACCCAGATTTGAGTTCCTAAGATGACAAAGATTGATCTTTTTTTGTTAAAGTGGGGTAGTAGTGTCTTTTTCTATTTTTTTTTAAGTGTGAACGCATGTGTAATCGTTGGCCAAATTGGTTTCCTATTTTCTTGAATCATCACAGTTGCAATTTGGAGCCGCGATTTCTTCATCATTGATTGAGTGTTCGCCCATGCAAACTTATCAGTATTTTTTTTATTTTTTTCGCTCGTTCTTTTGAGTATAATATTGTCTATATTTGGATGGCAATGTATATGTACAAATGCCTGGGTAGTACGATTGTGCATCCGTGTCTGCTGATTGTGCAACCAAGTGTTGTAAGTTGTGCACCATAGGCTAGAGAGTTGTGCATTATAGCACATAGTTCAGTGCATCATAGGACATTGGGATGTCCACTGTAGAATTTTTTTTTGTGGGGTTTGAATGCACAACAATAAAGTTATCGATGAACAACACTCAGTATAGGGATGCACAACATTTTGCATAGGAATGCACATCTTTTAATAAGACTGATTTACCTTAAATTTATATATTTTAATATTTTAAAGGGATTTGTTTCCTTAATCGGTGTGATTTCTTCCTTTTAATCTCAGTCATACATCATTCTGATTTAATGGTCTAGATTAGTCCACACGTTCTCTTATAAGATTAGGTCCTCACCTGATCCGGACCATATATATATATATATATATATATATATATATATATATATATATATATATATATATATATATATATAGAGGTTGTCTATGGTGCAAAAGAGCTCTAAGGTGAACTAATACAATGAAATCTGAGTGATCTAATTTAGATCACCATCCAAAATGAAAGAATTAAAAAAAAAAAAAAAAAAAAAAAAAAAAAAAAAAAAAAAAAAAACCTAGCTGAGAGCTTCCTTTGGAACCGTACCATAATTTCTATTTAGGTGGATTTTAGCATTTCATTATATTGGTTTGAATCTGGAACAGAACATATTAGCATGCAAAAGAATATAATAATTACTACAGTTCTGCATATTAACTGATCTTCCTTGGGATTTCATATATACTTGTGCCTGTGTCTATACAAGCACTAGTACAAAAAAAGCCTTTAGAGTTTTTCATAAAACACTTTCCGACACTTTCACCTTGAAGGTGTAGTGTAAAGTACTACTTATATTTCCAATTCTGTAGTAGTGAAGTTTCTTTCTCTGCTTTTTACCTTGAGTGTTAATCACAAAACTGAGGTGAGGCACACTTCTGCAATCAAATTCAACAATTACTAATACTTAATGGAATAATTGACGTTAAAATATCAACCAAAATTATGCACCATAATGTTTATAGTTATGCACATGAAGATTTGAAGTTATGCGCTATAAGCTTTAAAGTTATGCATCATAAGTTTTAAGGTTATGTGCTTCAAGATTCAAAGTTATGCACCTAAATGTTTAAAATTATGCACTGTAAATATTATTTTGAGAAGCTAATAAAGAATATGCTCTCGAAGAAAAACTATACACTTGGAAAAAGAAAAAATATGCACTTAGCTTGTAAAAGGAAGCATATGCACTTGCATAAGGAAAATAATGCACCCATCTTTTGAAAAGCTAATAAAATAAATATACATTCGAAGAAAAAACTATGTATTCAAAAAGACAAACATATGCACTCGAAAAGGAAAAATATGCACTTGATGAAAGAAAATAATGCACTCATCTTTTGATAAGCTAATAAAATAAATATGCATTCGAAGAGAAACTATATACTCGAAGAGGCAAACATATGTACTTGAAGAAATCAAAATATGCACTTGAAATAAAATAAAATAATAATAATAATGCACTCATCTTTTGTGAAGCTAATAAAATAAATATGTATTTGAAGAAAAATAATGTACTCGAAAAGATAAACATATGCACTCGAAGAATGAAAATAGTGCACCCAAAGAAAAGAGCATCTAAACTTGCTTACATAAAATTACCGTTATACCACCACATTTTTTCTTCATTTTGGACTATTGATTTGGACTAGATCAAATGCTAAGATTTAACCCTATATTTTTTACCTGAGCAATGCAAGTCTTCGCATCCGATCTGCACAATCATGCATTACAATATGCACAATCGTAAAAATTATAAAAACAAAAAATATGTGTTTTCAGATGTACAATCAATTATCTGCAGTTCAGCGAATGCACAATCAGACATTACAATATTCACAGTACAATGGGTAATTCGCACATTCGCATGAACTTTTCATTTGATCATGTTTATATATATATATATATATATATATATATATATATATATGTATGTATGTATATATATATATATAATTTGTTTATTTTATTTAAATTTAAATTTAAACTTTAAAATTATAATTATAATTGTTATTTAAATTATGTCTCTGTAGTTAACAAATTATGTATATTTAGTTAATAAATTATGTGTCTACTATAATTAACATATTATGTATATACAATTAACAAGTATATTATAAATATGTAGTTAATAATTTATTTACCTGCAATTAACATATTATGCGTCTTAATGTATGTAAACTCAGGTTCCTAACAAGTCATACGAGGGTTATTAAAATACTTTTGAAGCTGATCGAAGAACTTTGGAATAAGAGGATGGGAAATAGAAAATAATGCTACGAATTTGATTTTAATATTACAAGAAGAATAAGATATGGATTTTTTACTTTACCCCTCTAATTTTAAAGGGTTTTTGAGTTTTTCATAAGATTGAGACGGGAACCTAAAGTTGGGGACAATAGGTGTCACTTTACTCATAATTGTAGGGCGAAAAATGGTTACAGTCATAACTAAGGAACTGAGTTGGTATTTGAGTATAACTAAATGATCAAAGATGTAATTTTGTATTTTTTAAATATAGTTTAATAATTTCAAATAAAATAAAATTACCAAAAAAAATCCCAACCCCCTCCCCCCTTCTAAATAATTATATCCATCGTATCCCATCATATAGGGACACACCACATTTAGGAACCCAAATTCTGCTGGATCAGCTCCATTATCCATCTATCTGAGCAAAGTAACCATGGCTTTTACCAGCTACAAACTTTGTACTTCTAAAATCACACTATCTACTCTTCTACTACTCTTGTTCTTCTGTTGCCCTAATCCATCATCAGCCACAGCCTCCAAAGTGTTCAAGAAAATTTATGCGTTTGGAGACTCGTTCACAGACACAGGCAACACAAACTCCAGCACTGGCTCCATCTTCTTCACCCATGTATCAAACCCACCCTACGGCCGCACATTCTTCCACCGCCCCACCAACCGCTACTCCGACGGCCGCCTCGTCATCGATTTCGTCGCCCAAGCTCTCTCTCTGCCCTTCTTGCCGCCCTACATGGACCCAAATGCCGACAGATCTCACGGTATCAGCTTTGCTGTTGCTGGCGCCACTGCTATAAGCTACAGGTATATATATATATATAGAGAGATGTGGTGAGAACTAACCTTTTCACGCGAACCTGCGAACTTTTGAAGAAATACACGGTAAGTTCTACATGAATGCACATAAACTACTTTATCATGCATTCGTGTAGTAAATGTGATGCATTCCTGTAGTAGTTGCGGTGCATTCATGTAGTAGTCGTGAAGCTGGAATAGTTGTTATGCATTTATGTAGAACTTATAATGTATTCTTTTAGTTCGTTGATTCGCACCTGTACGACACCCTATATATGTGTGTGTGTTTTGTGGGGTGCCAATTCTAAATCATCTTCCAATTCCTACATACAAACATACATTACTGTTAGACAAAGATCAAGTCCAGTACTAGGTGGCTAGTAGATTGCTAGGCGAAGACCTAAAGGGGCAAATCTAGTACCCTACCTCTTAAAAACTCAATCCTAACACGTGGTGTCAGAGTAATGACCACAAATTCAAGTCCTAGCAAAATTAAAGTTGTGCCTTCACTACGAGCTATAGCACGCTTAATTTGATCATAAAAATTACATTTTGTGTTTACTACTATACCTTCAGGTTCTTCGAGAAGAACAATGTTAGTCTAGACATTACTCCTCAGTCTCTTGGAACGCAGCTGGGATGGTTCAATAGGTACTTGGAGAGTGTTGGGTGCAGAGACTACAAAACCACTCCTATGCAGTGTGGGGATGTGTTTGATGATGCATTGTTTTGGGTTGGTGCAATTGGTGCCGGCGACTATGCATTTACCTTTGGCTCTTCTATACCAAGGAAAACTCTTCGCCAGCTTGCTATCACTAATATTAATGGCTTCATACAGGTAATCTAATCTTTATTTATTTCTTTCTTTTGTTGTTGTTGTTGTTATATTAGTAATTCCTAGGTGTGAATAGGGGTATGGCTTCCTTTTGACACAACGTACCTAGTTATACCAGGTAATATGGGAATAGTTCGTATAAACAGCTCAACTGATCGCAAGAGTTAAGTTTGTCGCAAAAGATTAAAGATCGAGTCTGCAAAAATTTAATCTCTATTGGTTAGTTGAGTTATCATGATTAACCTCTTCACAAATTGTCGAGCTGGGGTGTGGGGTATATAGGGTAAGCGATTCCACCTTGTCCCAAGGTAATATGAGAATAATAAATTGATTTTTTTGAGAGAGTGTGTTTTAATCCAACTAAAAAAAAAACGTAAATTTAAAAATATATATGAGCTGCCAACCACTCCAATGACCTAGTATACGTGTGAAGTGCACATGTCTATTGGGTACCTTGCATCCGCACGCTGTCATTTTTTCCATGAAAAATGAAAGTTTTAGTAGTATGTAGAACCTCAGCCATTTTTCTTCTTTGTTTACCCACAAAAGCTGTAATTCTTTGCTTGGAGGCACCACACTCTAGCAGAACACAATAGGATTTGTAGAGGTGATAAATAAGTGTTTCAATATTCATTAAGTGAAAGAATCAGTGTCTAGTGTTCATAAAGAATCATAACATTGCGTGTAATTTCTAATTTCCCACACTACGATAGTCAAAACTCGATCCTGCATCCTTCCATTCTTCTCCTTTGTTACTTCACTTTTTTTTTTCTTTCATTATAGCTAAAAATATTGTAAAAAACTTCTATTGTAAGTGCTCTGAATATTGATAGTACTTAATATAATAACTCAAATAACATTATAAAAATGCACAACTAGTATTGTGCCTACCGACATTTGGTCATGTCTACTGAGCTATTGAGTTACCGTAATTTACATCATCACAAATATTCTGTCAAGTTGGAGTGTGGGGCCTTAGTGTTGGGGATTTAACCTTTGGAGAAGATTAAAAATTAATAAATTACAACTATATATTGATTTTGGTCCACATATTTGGTCTGAATGTGCATAAACAGTCTTCAGATTTCAGATGCATTTAATTATGGGCAGCATCATATCCTTACTTTTTTGTCTTCATCTTTATAAGTGAGATTACACATTTCGCTCTCGTCCTTTTAACGGTCAACTTGAACATCAATAACATCATATAGTATAGACAATTTTATGTTCTCGTCCTTATAACGGTTAACTTGAATATCATATAGTATGTATAGAACGGTTTATACAATCACTATATAATCATATATAGCTGAAGACCTAGAAATTGTGATTGTTCAGAACTTTTCAATTTTTGCTTGTTTTATTTAAAATAAGCAATTAATAATAATAATAATAATAATAATAATAATAATAATAATAATAATAATAATAATAATAATAATAAGTTAACTACATTTAGTTCTAGGAATTTACTAACATTTTGTCTTCTTTTATCATTTTTGTCCAATAGATGTTAATTGTTAGGACAATTTGATAACTTACAATTTACCCTTATATACATGCTAAAAATGTTCCTAAACCATATACTAAACTACATAACCTAGCAATAAAATGAATTTTTAATTAAAAAAAAAAGTTTATCAAACTATTAGTTATTGTATCATTTATGAATATTTTTTAACAAAAAGATGAGGCTATTGTTGGAAAAATATTGTATTTTTTCAAAAATTAATGTTAATTTTAAAAAATTGTAATAAATTAAATGATTAAATGTAACAATAATATCATAGAACCAAAGCGAGCAAATTAGAAATTAATGACCAAATATGGCACTATCACAGTAATTGTACATTTGTACGTGAGAGAAAAGTAAATTTTTTGTCTAGCATTTAAGAAGCTATGAAGTTGGTGTTGTAATTAAATTGAGTGCAATTAATAAATAATAATTAAGTATCCTCCCACTAGCATATATTTTCATCACATGATGACCCTCATCCATTGCATGAAAGAAAATGAAGCTACACCGATCAAGTAAGTGAAACATGATTATTGTATATATAAGTTGCAAGTTTGATTATTGTCAACATTCTTTTGTGTAGATTGCAGGCTATATACACAAAAGTGATGTTTATTCAATACACACCTTCAAGAAAAAGTGAAACAAATTGCCCACCCCCACAACACCAATAGAGCGTATATTTTTATTATATCTCTTACTGATTAAGTAGATAAAATAATGAAAAATAAAAAATGGATTGTCCCTTATGATGCATTAAAATTTTTAAAAGTGAATATTTTTGCATTGTAAACACGTTTTCTTTAAAAAAAAAAAAAAAAACAAAACAAAACAAAAAACAAAAATGAATCTCTTAAAAAAGTAATTAATAAACAGTTAATATTTGAAGAAGAAATGTTTACAAATACACAAACAATTATATATTTAATTTATATTCTTCTTGCATTTCGTGTTAATCATTCCCATCTCTGATTTCCTATTGATCCGTGTATTGCATGTACTTTTAATTCTTACTTGCTCACTTTTACTCTTTTATGTGGCGGGTGCCGATAAGTCATGTGAGCCCTAATGAAAGTGAGTAAAAATTAAAATAAAAAATAAGATTCTATATAGTTTTTTTCCTTTCCTTCGATCTCCCAAATGGTTAGAATTCCTAACCCTGACCCGACAGAGCATTTGAGAGGATATAAATCATGGTAACTCAATGAGTAAGCAGATATGACCATATGACGGTGTGCATAAGGAATTTGTCCACTTTAAACATAAACCTCATATTATCACTATTAAAATTGTCTACTAAACCATTGAGCTAAACTCGTACCATCAGATTTTTCCTTTCCTATGTGCATGGTACCTAATTTTTCTATTGACATCATTAATTGATCAAGGTACGACAAACCTAATTTTTCTATTGACATCATTAATTGATCAATGTACGACAAAATTCAAAGTAAGTAGATGGAGTTGTAAATTTAAGAGTAGATTGGTCCCATCCTGCAAACAACCAGAGGCTTCCTTATCCACTGAACTGTCACATTTAATTGAAGATTCTTTATGCTGACCTTAACCCAGCAAGTGGTTCACTTGTGAGGTGAAGTGGCTAAAAAAATTATTTTTAATTGCTTAATTTGCTACATAGGATTGCAAGTTTGCTGCTTTAGCAAACTTGCTAATGACGGTCTTTGTTGCAAAATGTTAACAAAGGCTGTCGTGTATTATTATTTTTTTAAAAATATTTTTTTAATAGTTTTGACTTTTGATTTAATGTTTTAAATTGATGTAATATTAGGATTCACTTTTAAAAGTTAATTGAATTTGTAGGAATGTAGTGTGAATAATAAATGAATTACAAATTGAATGATTTAGAAATAAGACTCACTTTCAAAAGTGAGAGACTATTGCAGGGATAATGATAGCCTTAGCCAAGCTATTTCTGTTTTTAATCTTTTAAAGGTAAAAATCACACTTTTTTTTTCTTCTCATAGTGATATAATTTATTTTCTTTCTCTTATTTATAAATCCATTTATTTTTATCTCATTAATTACTCTCAGCCTCATTTTACCTATATTATTTATTATTCATTGGTTAAATCAACAATTTGTTCAATTCATTGCTTATTTTCTTTAGTAATTTTTAATTATTTTTAAATTTGATTTTTTTGGCGTTTAATAGTAATTTTAATGTAATTTCTAAATATATAAATTTATATATTAATACTAAACTTAATATTATGAAAAATTAAATTAAAAATAACTTTAGTCAAGTCTCGTTAATCGAACCAAACAAATAAAATATGACAGATGAACTATATTTGATGTGACTACTTTTATTCAAATATCCATTAACTATATTATGATTGACATAAAAAACTTAGAGTTAATAACCTAAATTGTCCATCGAGTATGCTGTAATTACCAATTTGGTCCTCGACTATCATTCTTACAAGATTTAGTCCTCAACTATGTAAAATTTATCCAATTTAGTCCTAGGATAAATTTTAACAGACATTAAAGTTGAGGGCAAAATTGTCATTCTATGAGCTTTCTTCCTCCTCCCTATTAAACAACGCCAACCATGCAACATTGCAACAGTAGTTCAGAATCGATCACCCACTCCACCAGACCTTGCAAATTCATTGCCTCATCCCCCCGCCCCATGGTTCGCACAATGCCTAAAAGGCTCTTAGGGACGAACGCAACAGCCTCAATTTTGCCCTTCAGCTTTGGCTTTCAAAATGCCACTTTCCTAGCAGGTCCCATGACAATTTTGCCCTCAATTTTAACGTTCAACGAATAGAAAATTTAACCAAGGACTAAAATGGGTAAAGTTTACATAGTTGAGGACAAAATCGTGTAAAAATGATAGTTGAGGACCAAATTAGTAATTACGGCGTAGTCGAGGGCCCATTTTGGGTATTAACTCAAAACTTTATTTTTTTTTTGAATACCACTAGCTCTATTACATTGTAGTATCTGTTCATATACTTTCTCAGCCTACTGAAACACAAAGAGCTAATAACGCCTCCACTGAAGCTCGAACTTACCACCTTCCAAATAGTCCAAATAGAAATCCAACTCGAGTACCATTGGACCACATAGTCCTGGTACCTCAAAACTTTATTTAAAAAAACAAAATTTAAGAATTTTAGCTAAATCTTTCAATGTTATCATTCATTTAATCGAAATGCATGAAATAAGTAAGATAATTTCTCACAATTCTCATTTTCAAATCATAATTATATATATGTCAAAAAAAAAAGAAGAAGAATTGAGAGAAATTATCTCATCTATTTCTGACATTTGAGTTAAAAGAACGACAAATTGAGAGATTGAACTAATATTCCTAATTTTTTTTATTAAAAAAAAAAAAGAATCTTCACTCTTTAAGATTTTGGAAATATGCCGTGAATAATCAATCCGTGGATAAAAATAGCCATTTCAATAAATTTTTTTTATAGAGTTTTTACTATTGCAAAAATCGACCTAG